GGGGACAATGAACCGCGTAATTAAAAATCTTGCTCCGAACGGACCTCGAGCCTGGACAATCGCGAAGAAGGGAATAATTTGAAAGTCGAATGGGACGACTTAAATTTCGACTAACTTAGCGGTAAATTTATCAAGCAACAAACCCGTATTACTTTATCACCGTAAGATTAAGAATTTCTTTTGTTACGTAATATGCGGGAGAAAGGATTGTTATCGGGGGCAGTGAATCGCGCGATCGAAAATTTGGCTCGGAGCGGATCCGCGGATCGGGCTGACCGACTTGACCCTCGCGAAATCGCCGCGCGATCTCGCGAGGCGAGGAAGGAGCCCGCGATCCAGGAAGAACGGCTCCGGGGAGACGAACTCGCGCGACGCTCGTGCGCGGGCGCGCGCGGCGCGGTCGGAGGAGCGGAAATATTTTCCGAGCGCCATCTTGCTCCGTAACCGTACAATTCGTTTCAGTGCCTGTGAATGGACTTGTCATAAGTGTCTTACTTATTAAATTTCGCCTCGCTGTCCCCGTTCCCCGTTACGCTCTCGCGAGCCCCGCGTTCCCCAAATCCCCGGAGTGTTCGCCGCCCGCGCCCCGCAAGGTGAGTAACGTGGGTCGTCGCCGTCGCCGTCGCCGTAGCCACCGTCATCGTCGTTATTGTCGTCACTCGGTCGAGCCGAGCGGACGCTCCTGGACGCTCCGGAGCGTGGTGCCTCGCGAGACGGCCGCGCGCTCGTCGGTCCACCCCCCTCGGTACGACGCGGAACGGGTGCCGCGCCCCGTGGTCGCCACCCTCCCCCCGAGCAACGGTGGCACCCGCCGCGAGGACTGACGTGTCACGTATATACATATACGCTCCGCTCGCGCGACGAGGACCCCTCGAGGTGGGCGGGTACGCGCGCGACAGCGCGCGACACCGCGCTCCGCCGGGCCAGTCACGGTCGGAGCGGAACGTGGCTCGCGCGCCCGTCGTCCTCGTCGCTCCGAGCCGAGCTGAGCGCAGCGGAGCGGAGCTCCGACGTGGAGCGTTCACCCGGAGGTACGCGCGCGCGCGCGCGCGCACGCCGCGAGGTGGAATCGACCTCTCGATCCAGCGGCAATTGTACAATAGCAATAATTTCCTGCCTGCGCCTCCCCCCGCGCCACGCCGACTCTCTCCTCCGGCGCGCGTTGACGCGCTAACGCGGGTACAGTATCTCGGTCGTCGAGCGCGCGCGATGCCTTGAGACCCCGAGCTCGGCCCCCCCCATGTCATCGCCTTACCAGATTTCTCAAGTGTGTAATCCCCGCAGATTGTTTACCGCCCGTCGCTGCCGTTTCCTCAGCCCCGAGACGCGATTGTGGCCTGTCACGTGTGGGAGCCTGTCACACGGGGAACGGAGAGTCAACCGAGCGGTGCGAGAGAAGACAATGATCAATACTTTCACGGTCAATTATATGTATATAATGCTGTTAACTGACGAGGGAAGCCTTACGGAGGATCACCCGGGGCATCGCCGTTTAGTCTCCTATAGCAGATAACGCTACGCCAGTTCTTTGTCAGCCGTTTGTTTATATACTCTTTGCTTTCCTCAAACAGAGTCGTGAGTGAAGCTACACTTGCATAGTCGTGCTCGGCGGCGGGGAGAGGGCTCAGTTGGTGCTGTGTACACGGATGCGCGTGATTTTAAAGGGATGCGACATTTAAACGGCAACGCCGACATCGAATAAACGCGATGGACGCTGTCGACGGAAAGGGGAATCTCGAGCTCGGAATCTCAAGGCGTCGCTAATTCGTTTGCGTTCCCATTTCCTCTCGGCACTACTTTGCTGGACGCCGTTACTGAATTCGGCTTCTGAGAAAATTAATTCCAAATGAAACATCCCCGGTGCTCTTCGTAGCAGCATGTGGCCCGTATCGGACTACGGATTGAGATTAGATTAGGGAAATTTGACTAAAACAGGGGGAAGCCTACTAATCTCAGGCTTACGAATGTTACTCCCGATTCGTCAAATTTCAATCTAATCTCAATCTCAACCCGCGGTCTGATACGGGCTTAACGGTTGTTCTTCTCTAAATGCCACCATCCACACCTTTTCTTTGAGACTGAATGCTCGAAACTATTGGGGAATGCTATCGGAGTACTTAGTACTCGGCGGAAAGGGGAACATACTCAGACGTCGAGAGCAGTTCGTGTTATTTTTTTTGTATATTAATCATCGTCGAGCGGGCTGATAACGTTGCTCCGATGAGGAACACGATCGCGCCGCCGTGATAAGATAAGCGGAGAGCGCAACAGACACACGCTTCGGACAACCAAGCTCACCTCGCTCTTCTTCTTTTTCCAGAAGAGCAGTACAGTTTCGCTAAAGGAAGGCGCCAACATCTTTACCTCCGTCAGTGTAAGTGATTTCTCGCCGCAAACGCTTTCCGCATGCGCTCTATCATCTGCGAACGGGGTAGCCTTGACGATAGGTCTCTCCCCTGTAGGTCCTTCCAGGTTGTACTAGTCCCAATTTGGCGACTTGCTTGTCGAAAACCCCATTGAGGAGCGCGCAACGAGTTACGGGTCTTCAGCGCTTTCAAATCGAACGCGACGTCACGTGAATGTCGTGCCTTTGACATTTTTTCTCAAACTGCGAAAGTCAACCCAGTCAGAATCGACGTCGAACGACGAGTCATTTCTGACTGGGCGCGCATACGTTGCCTTCGAATCAACGTTTGATCGCGTGACATTGTTCCTTTCCCTGGCGAAAATAATATGTTTATAAGAGGTTTGTTTCAATGTTGAGTCAACGTTTTATTTGAGTTTTGAAACGTTTATCAAACTGTTTGTGAGACAATTTAAATATGAAGTTCTTTATGACACGTTCACGGTTACAAGCGTTCAAATTGCGTTTAATGATACACTGTCAAACGTTTCCATTATGGTTTTCTAAGGCTCGGTTTCACCAAACGTCGCTTAACTTTAATCTTAGTTCAATTCGTGCTTTGTCTCTTTCTAAAGTAACAGTTGGAAAGAGACAAAGAACGAATTAAACTAAGCTCAAAGTTAAGCGACGTTTGGTGAAACCAGGCCTGAGTGTTTGTAAAACGTTATTGTCAGTAAAGAACTAACCAGGTGTTTGCAACGTACTTCCAAACGGTGTAACCATCAATAAAACTCTTCGGAAACAATCTAACTATCGATAAAGCTCTTCATAAATAAATATAAACATCATCTCTCGCTTAAAATTTTCGCCAGGGTTTACATTTTCTCAGTGAGATCTCCAGTAGCACAGTGCATTGGCTAAACACTGGTTCAATATTGGTTACATTAGAAATGCATTGGCCGATATTGTCCAACGTAGAAGCCAATATTGGCTATGGAATAAATGCACTCACACACCACGTACGTCTAAAAGACGTCTTAGATGTCCTTTAGACATACGCGTTGTTTGGGTAAATATTACACGATAATAATTGTATAATATTAGATTTATATTGGAAGTGTATTGGCCAATATTGATCAATGTTATAAGAATACTGGTCTAATAGAGAATCAATATTACAATATTACACAAAAGTATTGTTAAATCAACATGTTGGCTAAATAACCCAAGTAGAACAAGTTAATCACAAAAACGTCAATGTGACATTAACATGATGAATTTTACGTCATAAAATGATCGACATCAAGATTTACTTTGCAATGACTGATTTATGACATGCTGTTTTATGATAGTCGTTATGTGCATAATAATATATTATTACAGATTACATGATCAGTTATACATTATGTTTATCTTATATTACTTCAATTTATTTTTTAATGTATAACATTTAATTAAAACAAGATTATTTTTAAAACATTTTGATGTTTTAATGATGTAACAAATAGGTGCTCTCGGTGGGCTATTTCGACGTCACCATGATGCATAAAAAATGATCAAAAAATGATGTCATCTTGATGTTTTCGTGACTAATATGTTCTACGTGGGAAGATAAGGCGTCCCATCTTACAATATTGTACCAATATTGGGAATACTATTGTAGATTTACATGATTTCCCAATATCGCGCCAATATATTGTGCTACTAGAGACGTGTAAGATTGTCGAGGGGTTTTCATATGTAACAGTATTTCTTGCGGCGTACGAATGGCGTTATTATACGTAACTTGAGAGTAGTTTAGGGAATGTATGAGCTGTGCCTATTAAAAACAAAATACAATATTTCTTTTATCGTTATAGTTGCTGCTATCGCTGCGAGTATAATCTTCTGTCGCGCTAACTCGATTCGCAAACGTCTCGAACGCGTGCGCGTCACTGCTATTCCCTTTTTCCTCCTCGCGGGATCTCGTTTGGAATTTAGAAAAAAAATTTCATGTAATATTCATTTGCATAATAACGCGGTGCTTAACAAATTAGTGTGTCATTATCATCCACGCGCGTAATGACGTGTCATGCATTTGAGGTGTGATGAGGTGATTATGTGAAATTCCTCGTTATTTATCGTGTCATCTTGGTAGTCCAGGCTTTTGTTGTGATTCGGAGTATTCGGAAGTATTTCTGTATTCCCGGGCGAATACCTAGAGCTTCGTCGACAACGCCGGCGATATTTCGTTAGTCAAGAATGGCGATGCAGAAGGTAAATTCCAATGATGTTCATAGCCGTTGAATTAACAACTGTAACTCACTCATAATAACGTGACATTTTTCCATGTCAGAGCATATCATTAGAAGCTCTCTGTGTTTCACAGTAAATAATATCTATCAGTCTTTGCAAAAGTAATCTGATTCTTTTTTTCCTTCCACAAAGAGTTGCTGTGTGTGTTATGTGATATACGTATCTATATTCGGATTATTTTGGTTTTCCAGTTGTTTTTTTTTGTTATGATGCACCTTTATTAGTTTGCAACGTTTGCCAGCGGAGATAATGATAGGTAGCGAAACCGATAATGACAGACGATACATTATGCAAGTCAGTATTGCATTAAATGTTGTTGTACGACTATCTGGGCTCGATTCGTTTCGAATTTTACAGTCGTACTCCACGCGAGCCTAAATAATACTTATCTCAGATAAGATAGAGAGAAAGAGAGATAATATTAATTAGCAATTTATATAGGCACATCTCAAAAGGACTGATTTCCGTTACGGTTAAAAGGAAACACAAGTATACCCCTTAGTCTCGAAAGTCAGTGACTTTTTACGTCCTAGCACGCAGGCATATTTTTACGTATCGTTGAATAACTAATCAGGCGATTTGTGCTAAAGTATATACAGATTTTAAAGTTAAATTGCGACAAATGTAAATTGTACTTTACTTCCTTCGCTTAGTGGTATGGTGTAATTTGATTTACTTGTATGCAACCTGTGTACATTTTTATGATATTTAAGAAAGAGTACAATTTTACAATATAATAATTTTAACGATATAGATGAAATTTTTACTTCTATCAGTTTTTATTTCAATGTTTATTTCACTTAAAGAAAAGTCCAGTATTATGAGATAGTATCCTAATATGGGATAGCGTTTCTGTAAAATTAATAGACATCGTCAGTTGATTCCACCGTGAATTTATTGTCCTTGGAGCGAAATCTGTTTAGTGAAAAATTCATTGTTAGATTGTGTAATCGTTGCGAAAATATCGGTGATTGAATTTGGGTGTCGAAAACCTGCTATCTCATATTAGAAATCTATCTCATGATAGGGGACTTTCCTGTAATAATAATCTCCTTCCGCAATTTATATTTCTTTTTGCTATTTAGTTACAAGTAATTCGAGTAATGTGCATGCCTTGGTTTTAACTCCGAGCTTCCCGCTATTGACTTACAGTTGTACTTCACTGAAATTTAGTGCGCCACTAGGTTTGTAATGTTTAGAATAATGCGTACTTACAGTACTGCATGGCTTTCATGTGTAAACAGAAACACCCATATTTATTATCAGACGCTACTTGCGTCACGATTGACCTGCTATTATTTTTACATTACAGCAATTATAGGCTACGTATACATCAAAGATTAGTCAAGGTTTATAGATTTATAGATCTTTGAAGGACTGCGAGTCTTCGTAGAATGTACGTTCTGTAAATAGCTGCCTGTACCAGATGTCTGATACAGTATGTCATTTTTTTCCTTTCGCTTTGAAATGGCCACGATAATAAATATGGGTCCCCAGAGCCGAGATACACAATACTACAATTGAGTAACGTGTAGCGATAACATTTTAGATGAGAAGACAAGGGCAAGACGTTATGCAGGTGAATCTGGCGGGTATTAGGCGAGATATTATGAATCTTGCCCATAATTACAGCAATGCGCAGGTGATTAGTGAAGTCTTTTTATATTATTGCAATATTATTTTTCATTATTGATATGTTAAAAAAATAACGCAATATCTCAAAAATATTCTGTAAAATGGAAATTACGATTGTAATAATTTTTTTTCTATAGAAAGCTGTACGGAAAGCCACCAGCAATGATCCCTGGGGTCCAAGTAGTACACTTATGGCAGAAATCGCCGACTTAACATACAATGTTGTAGCGTTTACGGAAATTATGCAAATGCTATGGAAACGATTGAACGATCATGGGAAAAACTGGCGACACGTATACAAAGCCTTAGTTCTCTTAGAATATCTTATCAAGACAGGAAGTGAAAAGGTAGCGCAGCAGTGCAAAGAGAATATTTTTGCCATCCAAACTTTAAAAGGTAACAGACGTGAAATTTTATCTTACAATATACGAGATCGGACATTCATACGTGTGATATATTATTGAAGAATTGAAGCTCCATACATTGACGAACTGCAGAAATCCCACGACGCACATTTGTAATTAACGAACAAATTTAGAGATCCCTAGTTTTTCGGCACAGTCACCTTATTATGCTTTTGCGTAGATTTTCAATACATGGATGGACATAAAGATCAAGGGATTAACGTGCGAGAAAAAGCAAAACAATTAGTGGCCTTATTAAAAGATGACGAGAGATTGAGAAACGAGCGAGCTAGAGCACTGAAGGCGAAGGAGAGATTTGCACAATCGGTTAGTGGCTTCGGAAGTGATGGTCTGGACACAATGTCACCTGTTAGCAGCGATGTAAGTGTGTTATCAATCAATGAAAACAACGAGTTAAAACCGTCAATTTATACGTTATTATCTTGTTTCAGTTTCAAGATTGGGAACCCTGTCATTTATCCGAATCAACGGCCAGACGTGCGAGTAAGTTCCTCTTTATAATAACAAGCTCTTTGTAGCAAAAACCGAGTCTTTTGGTCAAGATCTTCCAAATTAAGATTACTTTAACTGGGACGAGATAATTCTTATAGATTTAATCTAAATTCTCTTATCATATCTCGTGTATTTTTTCGCAACGTGTGTCAAACGCAAACTTTAATTACTTTACATAGGAATTAACGCAACAAGTGTATTTTGCAGCGGAATTGGAAGCCGCAAGACCGCAAACAGTGGGCGAGGAAGAATTACAACTGCAGCTGGCCTTGGCTATGTCTAGAGAGGAAGCGGAGCAGGAAGAGCAAAGAAGACGGAGCGATGACGTTAGATTGCAGTTAGCTCTCAGTCAAAGTCAGCAAGATTTTAAGTGAGTAATCAACGGAATCTAATGTAATCAGGTAACTCGATATATAGAAGAAGAAACCAACCGTATGAATTTCAGAACTCCGCAGTCCGAGAAGCAAAGCCACATGATGGATTTACTCGATGTGCATTTGGGAGAAGCGAGTGGCTCTTCTGTACAAACTGATCCTTGGGGGATCCCGATAGCAGCACCACCGCCTAGACCACAGGTACTTGCTGGTTATGCCGCTGATTTAACGATCTCGCACTTTGCATGATAACACAAAATTGTATCTTTTTGCATGATGCGCCACAGTCTTTGGATATATCTGAATTTCACGCGTGTAAGGTATGATGAATGTTCGAGGACGTTAAATATGTATTTAGAATGGTATAACCATAGGATGACGGTTTTGGTAGAGCGATTGATAAACTGGCGGAAGAATAATGGCGTTTTCGTTTTACAGACGCAAAATGACCCGTGGAGCGTCCCAACAACGAGTACCACATCACCACCTGCGGTAGATCCGTGGACGCCTGTTCCTCCACAAAGACCAAGTGAGTTTCGTTATTGCGGCAGCGTGCTCTTTACACGATTACACGTTTATTTAATCCTTGTATTTATATTCTTTTTGCATGTTTCTTACGTCTTTGACGATTTCCGATAATTCTCAGGATCCTCAGGTACAATTAGCTAATTCTCTTAACCATTTTTCTCGTAATTTATTTAAGTGCTACATTTTGGATCCTTCTTTAAAAGATTTACGCTTCGTTTCTATTCTAGTATCCGATGAAAGCGATGTTTTAAGTTTTCATTCCGGTATTATTTGGCTGACTGTCAAATTACAATTTAATTATAGCTGCCACTATCGATCCGTGGCGTGCACCTGCCCCATCTCCCGCTACAGTCGCATCTCCTCCGCGTACCAATGACCCTTGGTCACCAGTTCCGTCTACTGCGACTACCACTACTACTGCTACTACTACCATTACCGAATCGGAGACGAACAAACTGCAGGTGATACACAGATCTGTTCCTCAAAGTTCTTCGAGTTTTAATGTTTATAATGACGCATTGATCTTGAAATTTTCTCATTACAGACGGCTCAAGATGGCATGACGTCCCCGTCGCCATCCTTCAACAATTCAAACTTGACGCATAATATCGGCTTCGCGGTATCGTCGTCTCAGAATATAGGTTTCAATTTACCGCCGGCATCTTCGGCCGCTACCACCTTCAGCACTAGCAACGGTTTCAACGGCACGGGGCCGGGCTTCAACAACTTTCCCGCTCAGAACAACGGTAACGCCGCCGCGACGAGTCCCCTCAGCGATTTAGACGAATTCGACGTGATTACTAATAGAGGAAAACTCGGGGCTAGTCCGCAGACGGTGAACAACGGTACGTTGAGTCACGCAAGATTCACTTCGTGAAACGCGGCATTAATGTCTGCTGAGGTTGCGTTAATGAGATCACACGATTTTTAAACAGGTGGTTCGACATCATCGGGAGGAGATCCCTTCGATCTGGGTGGCATGGCTGAAACCCTCCCCGCCAGCACCGGTGCTGTGAAGAAGACACCGCAATCCTTCTTAGGAGAGAACTCGGCGCTCGTCAATTTGGATAATCTTGTCAGCGCTTCGGCGATTAAGCCGTCGGCTCCTGCGCCAGCGGGTAAGTTTTCATTCGCAATTAAAAGGTACAAATATCGAGAAAGAAAAGTCCAGTATTCAGCATCTCTCGTGCGCATATGTCGCTTCAATTTCTCTTTTGTCGTGTGATAATCCATTAAAGACAAAATCTAATAATTAACGTAATATTCAGCGACAAAAATAATTCAAGTATCATAGAAAAAGAGAATATGTAACACGCCCTATGTCTGCAAATTAGCGTTTCATTGGAAATAAGTTCGTGAGTATCAATAACATGATTAAGAATATATAGCATGAATGCATGGTGGCCATTATGTTGAATGTAAGTGCGTTATGTTTTCACTTAAGAGTACTGTGATTTGAATCTTTCTTCGAACATACATCTTGCAGTATTCCAGTGGAATACATAGATTTCCTTTTCTTTTTGGACAGATCATTCTTTTTAAATATTTTTTATTTTTACATTTATCTTTTTTTTCCCTTGCAATATGCATTTGTTTATGTGGAATGGATCAACAAATGTCAAATTATGTTGGACGATCTTGAAAATTCTCAAAGTCTTAGTCAGTATCTTGAAATAAAAACAACCAATTTTATGAAATGAAAGCAAAATGTGTATTTTATTCAATAATTTTTTGCTACTTTTAGACCATGGAATAATGTCTTTTTGATTTTTATTCAAGATATTGACACTAGTCTTGGATGTCGATGTATTGAAATATGTATAAGCGCTTGAATTGTCTTCGTGCGAGCGATAAGATCTTTTGTACTAACGAACGAACATACGTGAATGATTTTACAGTAACCATGTCATATTCAGCAAATCCATTTGCAACTGTGACGCCACCACCCCGTCCTACAATCAATCAGATTCGACAGGATCCATGGACAGCGAACACAACTACTACGGCTAATCCGTTCCTCTCGTAGCCTGATCGATCAATCGATCGGAAACTACGTAATCACTGCGAAACGTGATCCGCAGTTCTACATGTACTATTACGGTATAGATTTCGGTTAACGGTAAAAGAAAATATGATTTAACTTATGTAGCAATTGTGGGTAGGGACAGACGTGAGTAAGACCAATACAAAGAGAGGGCGAAGGAAACACATCCCCATCAAGAGAATTTTTATCGATAACTTGAAACATACACATTAATTTTCGACGAGTTGTATTGCAGCGCTCATTGTACAAGTTTGTTTTTTTTCTAATTTTCCTTTTGCATGTACCACTCGCTTCTTCAAGTTTATTATGGAATAATCGCCCAAATAATTAACTGGTAGAAGTGTAGCATATTTGTAATTAAGTGAATGGTTGAATGGTTAAAGGTACAACATAATAATACAAATCATGTTTTAACTTTTGAACGCTTAAGCAATCCCGAGGTACGACTAGATTTTATATACACTCTTTTCTCTATACGATCTATTTTCTATGTATGAATCACAATTCAGGGAAAGATTGCTCAGCAACATCGCATCGCCACTGGGGAAGAGTGTAAAGTAACGCTGGCATTGAGATCAGTTTATGCGTTTTTATACACACGTGTTTTTTATAGTAAAAAAAAAGGGGAAAACTGTGAGATCGTGAGACTGTAATCGTGATTTGCAAATTATTATAACGAAAAGTTCCGTTCGCCGTCGTACGCTTAAGATATGACGATTATGGTCTGTAAAAAAAAAATCGATGTTGTGGCTTGCTTTCTAATACAGAATCCGCAATACGGGCAGCTACACTGCGTTGCAAAGTGTACACGAATTTCTTACACAGCCGTATAGCCGGTCATTTACGAATGACGTACCGCGACCTATAGCACACCAAGGCACTTCTAAACGAAAATGCAACTGTGAAAGTAGCATCCACGCTAAGCGATACGAACATTAAAGAGATAATCCATATTGTTCTTGCTACCCGAATGCCCGGGTAGGTGTTCCAATCGACCGCGAGCATGCTTATGCAGATTTGGCATAGCTGAAGAATCAAACTCAAAGAGCGATAAGAATTGTGTCTATTGTATTCAAGAATCATCGATAAGTAAATAACGAAATAACAGCGCAAACCGTTATTTCGAATGACATTTACGTAAACGTCCGGAGTTATGTAAGAGCCCGATCGCTCGTAGGATAAATTTATAACAAGTCTACAAGAGGAGTTTCTGCCTACCCGTGTTCTTTTTTAAATTCGCATGACAAGAACACCGAATCGGATTTCATTAACATACGAGACAAACGCAGGCGATTATCTCGATCTAAGGATATAAGAAGTGTACATACATTTAAAGCGTATCGTTCCCCATTTGTCAAGTGTTATTAATGGGTATACAGGAAATTTTTAGTTTTGGACATTAAAGAGTCGTCATTCTCGCGCTCTGCGTTTGTAGAAAAATTTGCTGAGCTTTTCTCCCTTTTATTCACATTCTTGCCTATACAATGTGTAACGCTTTGATATTACATAATGATATTATTTATTTCGCAATATGTACCCGTTTATACAGGCTGTACTAAAACCACCGGGTATCCTTTTAATCGCAGATTCCTTAGAAAATTTCAAGAGGAAAATTCTAATTAAAAAATGTCGAGGCTATGATAGTTTATAAATAATAAGCGATTATATTTCACAAATGACAGGTCTGAGATTTCGCGCGCTCAGGCACGGCGACACGACGAGTGATAAAAGTGTTCCTATGTGTTTCGCGAGCGAGCGAGAACCAAAGTCACCGTTTAACGGGACAGAAAATATTTGGGAAGACGATGATCCGGTTATTTTGAAAACTTGAGGATAAAGAGAGGCAGGAGACTAGATTGAATCTAACTGAAAATTCCAAGTTCACTCAGAATATCGGAGATCGACTAAATCGAAGGATATCAGTCTCATCATAGTGAACCCCTGCCTTTTATTAATAAGACGTTACACAAAGTTAACAAAAGAAATGGTTAAAGATAACAAGAGGAGCAATTAATTCGAGAATGAATCGTTAAGTCTGTTGTGAAAGTTGTCACTGTGCTAAAAAGGGCGATATTCGTAGGAACACCTTTATCACTTGTCGTGTCGCCGTACCTGAGCGCGCGAAATCTCAGGCCTGTCATTTGTGAAATGTAATCGCTTATTATTTAAAAACTATTATAGCCTCGACATTTTTGTATTAGAATTTTTGTCTTGAAAGTTTCTAAAGAATTTATGATTAAAAGGATATCCGGTGGTTTTAGTACACCCTGTATAAATAGCATTGGTTACTTAGTAACTTAACAAAAGTTGAGTTGTCTTGGTATCATTGAAATCTTGCATGATCTCAGCATCTTTTTCTTCAAAATAATGATGCATTTTACAATTTTATACAAAGAGGACTTGGTCAGTTTACAGCATTGACAAGGGGGAACTACATATTCGCCTGTCTCTCATCCGAGTAAATCAGAAGTTGCACGATTCAAGCTGTTCCAATAAGTAAACGTCGAGCAAATAATTCCAATGTATTATTTATCGTTAAATCTATAATTTTTGTTGGCTTTATGCAATTTTAACATACTTGCTTATATGAGTGAAATTGTATATTTAATATGTATTTATCCAGTTGTTCGCCAGGATATGAAGTTAAAATGTACGATACGTATGATAACGTATAGGGATTTAATTATACAATCATTGTCTTTGACGGTTTGAAAATATAAACGATTCTACTAGCCACTATCGTGCCTGTTGAATATAGGATGGCGTACCAGAGCGTCCTGTATACTTTGGTTTCGTTTATGTAGATCTGCATCTTTTTTATACCTGTCTTATTTAAGTAAATATATATATATAATATAAATCATGATATATACACGGCTTCATCCCTGTGCGAACAGTGGAAATATTTTTGTTTAGCTTTTAGAGCTCATGTAATTGCAGGAAAAAAGAATTCAAAGAACATTTATATAAATAAATATTATATATTTTAGTAGATTATAATGATATACTTATTAATAATTATACAAATAAATATAAAAATTTTTAAGTTTTCTCAAATTAAACACTTAAAATTCCTTTAGCGCTTCTCTCCAGAAGATACGTACACGCAGATTTCATCGCACTAACTCGAATCCCTATATTTGATAGTTAAATCATTATAAAAGATTGGAGAAAGAACATTACGATACTTTCATCAGTAATAAAGATATTTATCTTTACAAATATTTCTGTTCAGATATTACATGTAGATTTTAGATGAGTGATAATCAACGAATCATTCTAATATTTAATTTCAAAATAAGTATATATATATAACAAAAAACTGTTATAAAACCCATCTATTTTCATAAAGATATAGGATAATTTCTTTCTTCACACTAAGTTATTATTTAACAATGCAGTCTTTCAATAAAAATGATATACATATGAACTTTCTAGAAGAGTTCATTGATATTTAAACGGAATCCGCTGCGATCTAAAGAGATGCTTCAGTCGAGGAGTTTATCGTAACCGGTGGAAGGAAGTACGACCGGACCTGGCTATGCAGCTGCGCTATTTCGGCGTCCTCTCTCTCCAAGGCCCTAATGAGCTGTGCAAATTGTACGCTACCTGCTTTGCGCAAAGACGACGATCAATCTTTCAATTTTGTCAGACCTGTACCTTTACTGTACCGATCCACGCACCTTCTCTCCCTTCTGGAAATCCATAATTCTTTATGACGTCCATTTGAATCTGCGTCACCAGCGGAAACACGAATTGCATCATTTTCAACATTTCGTTGCCGGAGCTTTCCTTCGCCTCTCCGAGTTTCTGCAGGTTCTCGGGTGTGTTCAGTGCCTTGAGAACTTCTGTCAATATCGCTGAAAGATATTTCTTCACATATTTACAATTCTACGCAAATTTATAATATACGCAATTATATAATTTATTAGCGTTCAATATTTATTCATATGTAAATCATCGACGAAGTTGCATTGTAAATGCGTTAAATCGTAGTAATGTTAATGTAAACAGACGGGCACGAATAACTGGGCATTTCTATAATGTATTCTATAATTATAGAAATGCCCTGCCTGTTCGTTTACGACTTCTTGGGATTTTTCTTTAAACCTCTAGATACCTTTCGCAGTTTCCAGCGTGAAACCAGGAACGCTTGCCATAGTGCACGAGCGGCTGTAACCGAGGGTTATGTTTTTCTCCACAGTGGTTATGTTATGTTTTCCCCCCCCCACAGGCGTTATTATGTTATATATACACAATATTAGATCGCTAATCACGCGTGGTAAGTTAAGACACTGCAGATTTAACTCTTCTTACGGTTAAATCGACGAGTAGTTCACATGTAATAATTTTTCACGTAGAACTGCTCTTTTTCCAGACTATCAACATGTAATCTGACGCGATTTCGTTTAGCAACAACAGATCTTCTCTCGTGACATATTACTGCTGAAAACTGCAGTATTTGTGTTTTATCTGTCGGTTGTCAGCGTTGGAACTCGCGATCCTAAATTCGATGTGGCAAAAAAAATTACGCCAACGCCACACGGTGTTCCCAAGCGGTCACCCATCCAAGTACTGACATTGTCCGCGCTTGGCCGCTTTGTTTTCGAAAATTAATGAGCAGACCAATTTTTCGCACAGATTCTGATTCTACGGCACAAGGCACGATCGCACGCGACAGTCAAATTTGGGAGAAGCACATTGAACTTTTATCAAGATGTAACATATGTATCACTGCTTTAGTGTTTCAGTATTTAAGTATGGACTGTTGAAACGTATAGGTTATCCCAAACATTCTTAGAAACTCGGAGGGGCCGATTTCAGAAACACGAGTGTGTCCGAGGTAATTGAATTTTCTCGAGCGTACGATCGAACTGTTCGCCCTTCTTCGCATATTCGACAATTTGGCGGAGTGTTTGCGGGACTTTGTACAAGTTTGTTTAAAATCATGGAATCCAATCACGATCAAACGTTTCTCCACATACTTCGCGAGGAGAAGAACGTCAGCAATTTCTTGGACGCCTTCTTTGGCTTCTTGTACAGATGGTAACTATCAGATATATTGATAATCCTCTAGTTTAATCAATAAGGTTCGAGTAAAACTTTATTTTACATCACGCGTTTGCAGCACGGACTTTTACGTCGAAGCGGATTTGGAGCAAAAATTGGGCTTCCCACCTGGAGTGGCAGAGAAGCTCGTATCAAGCACCATGTACAAATGGAAGAACGTCGCATTGTCTCTACAAAAGGCAACATCCGATGGTAGGACAAACAGTGGTGTTACGGCGGATCAAGTAGTCCTGACGCAAAGCGAGAGCTCTGGATTTGCTCCACCGGTGGCGCAAGAAATTGAAATCGACTCGTGTAACAAATGTAATGACACTAAACCACCCTCTGCGCAATTGTTCAGGATGGATGATACGTCGGACAGTTACAATGGAGCTGTGAGGGAAAATTACGTTTGGACCCAGACTCTTGGCGACTTGGATGTACTCGTGAAAGTACCCGAACACATAAGAGCCTCCAAAGAGACAGTCAAAGTCGACATAAGCTCAAGTGAGGTCAAAATTTATGGCAAGCCTTCCGCATCGTCGATAAATTCCGAATGGGATGACATTTTCAATGGCAAACTTAGCTTTAAAATTCGAAGCGGTGAATCTACATGGAGCATAGAAGGGAAAGAAATTAATGTGCGTTCGTTTCCGCGAAACGCATTCAATTTTCTGGAATGTCATCAAATGTATTTAACTTCTGGTTATATAGCTATTTATTTTTAGATTCATCTTGAAAAAGCTACGGAAAGATGGTGGGGAGCCTTAATATTAGACGAACCAAAAATTGACTTGAACAAGATCGACTGTTCGAAACATTTGTACGATATGGCGCCAGAGGAGCAAATGAAAGTGCAGGAGTTGATGTGGAATTACCAGCAGAAGGTCTTGGACAAACCAACGTCTGAACAAATTGTAATTGCCTACATCTTATTCGATTGGCGTGTATAAAGCGCGAAATTTATTTCAACGTTTTGTAAATGACATTGCATTTGTAGAAGATGGAGGCCACTTTGAAGCAGGCGTGGAACGCGAAAGGATCGCCTTTCCAGGGTACACCTTACGATCCTTCCATTTTAAAGTACAATTGATGTATCCTAATATATTTTCTGAAATTGCAATGTTTATACGTGGCGGGTTAAAAATTAGATTATGTTTGTATTCAATAACATTTGTACTTGTAAAACATTTATATTGTGTTCATTTCACACGTATACACAGGGTATTCGAAAAGAATGGGACCCCTCTGTTATCTCCGAAAGTACACTCGCGAAAAAATAATCCGAGTAAAAGTTGTAGGGGGTCATGAAGTACTATCTTTTGGCGACCTTGAAATTGATCTTGAGGGTCATTCGAAGGTCAACTTTGGTATTTTAAAATGAAACAAGTGGCCCTTAGGGAGTCCTAGTTTGACCACTAATATGACAAGGTATCTGAACGGAAAATTTTGCCACCCTTTTTAAATCCGGGGTCAAAAAAGGGGGTTTCCATTTATAAAATCAAAGTTGACCTTCAAATGACTCTCAAGGTCAATTTCAAGGTCACCAAAAGATAGTACTCCATGACCCCTGCAATTTTTATTCGGGTAATTTTCCATGAAAGTGTGTACTTCTGGAGATAATAGGGGGATCCCCATTTTTTTCATATACCTTGTATAATATACATGTATATATAAGATATGCAGCAATTTTATCGCCCAGGAATCTTGCTCTTTTGATATTCCGGATATTTTGTTTCGTATATATTTTTCTTATGCATGTCTCGCATATCTAATATTATAAAAATTATGAAGAAAAACAGCCAAGTCTTTTTAAAGAAAATAATCTAAATGGATATTGTGCACTTTCTGCATTTGAATGTTGCGCTTTCAGAAAAAGAGCTTGGATCTAAAATGGTAATATGTTGAAAAAAAAATTTTGTTAATAGCGATCTCATTAAGTTTTTACTTTCAAAAGATTGAATCGCAATCTTTTCACGATAAATCCACGTCGGGACCACAAAAATATCCCGATCCATTAATTACGGGGACGAGCGAAACGCCCATTTTCGCTGCGATCGCGTTTTCCTGCGCGACGCTCGAATCTGCGAGTTTCCCCTTTAACAGATAAAATAATATCTACGAGAGCCAGAGAGCCGAGGATCTCTGGCTCTCGATGGCGACACCCTGCGAGATCGCGAGGCGATCCGAGAGTTCGCAGAATGCGCGGAATCCTAGGCTTTTCCCTGGCGTTTACGCCGACTTTATATCACAATAGCGGTGGGATCGTTCGCCACAGCGACGAGGCGGTTCGCAGACGGCAGGTACACAGCCTCGAAGCAACTGTTCTCATTTCGTCGAACGCGTCTGCGGCTTTCCTAAGTCTCCGCCCCACTCCGACCGGTCCCGAACAGATTTTCGTAAACGTAGCGACGACCGAGTAATCGGCGATATACTCGGATGAGAACCGTGCCGCTGCGACAGTTATTGTTACGAAACTTGCGACCGTAGGAATAAAGATCTCGTAATAAATTCGGAAGAAATCCAGAACGGCTAACGACTCAATCGGGTTTTTAGCAGCGAGAATTTGGAACTTGTAGCAGCTCCGCGACTCGTGGCAACTGTAACCTCGGGGGAGACTTGGATCCCCTGCGCTGCGGGAATCGAGTCGAGCGTCGCGATCGTAACGCGACTCGTCGAGCTAGGCGGACTCCACCCTCGGGGAATTGCTGCGAGGGGGAAGGACTCGATCTTCGGAAGCCAGCGCCAGGTGCAACGGCGGCAGGTCGCGCGCCGCGTTGAGCACCGCTGCGGGTAAAACACAGGTAATATACCTGCCCGAGGCTACGAGTCCATCCCCACCTGGGGTCCGGTTCTCTCTCCTCGCTCTCTCGGCCGGCTCTCCGGCTGGCTTTCCTTCGAGGTGAGCCGGGGCTGTCGGGACGGCCGTGCCGTTAGTATCGTTTGGTATCGTTGCCGTTGCGACTGGAACGGCGGTGGTGTCATGTGCATCGCGGCGGAGCGCGCATCCTGAAGGACGGCCAAGGTATCGCGGATATCACGCACCGCAGGTATCCGGGGGGCCAGTTCGAGTCCTCCTCCTTCCCCCTCCCCCCGACTCCCTTTCTCGCAACCCTGCCGCGGTGCTTCCGCGGGAAGCCGCGCGCGTCTCCCCCGCGTTCTCCAAAATCCGCCGAAGCGTGGTCCAGCTCTCCTCCTTCGCGGTGCGCTCTTCGTGGCGCGGCCTTCCCTTCCTCGTACGCGCTGATGCCCGCGTACAGTCGGTGGCAGTAACCAGCGGTGAGTGCGAGGTGAAGCTAACGGAAGAAAGACGGGAGAGAGAGAGAGAGAGAGAGAGAGAGAGAGAAGGAGAAGACCAAGGGGGCACTCGACGACCAAGAGGATAGAGAGAGAAAGAAAGAGAGAAGGTAACCGAAGATAAAATAGCAAGATGCCGTGCTCCGCGGTGACGCTGTCCCTTGCCACCATAACCGGTATAATCGCCACTGCCCTCCTGGCGATCGCCTTCTCCACGGACAACTGGCTCTACACCGAGGTCAAGCGCGCCCAGATCCAGGTTTGTATTTCATCTCCCGATACCGAAGGGAACGTCTGTCGATCCTACCGAGAGAGAGACGCGACTCGTTTGCGGAGAAGGACAAACAAACTTGGGGGGGAGAAAATATCGATAGAGACGATCGCGTTCGAAGCTCTCCGCGCCGAGAAACTTTCGTAAATGTTGAAGCTCCGATGCTCCTGGTCCAACTTCTAGTTTCGAGAAATGTGTAGCCAATCAACTTGCAGCTTTTATGGAATAGCTGACGCAGGCCTTTAGATATAAATTGAATTCGACTTGCTCTCCAATTGCTCGATGCAAAATTAATTAGACGCAAACGCCGGTTAACTTCAATGTACACTAGGAATGTGCACATATCGACACATTTATATGTGTTGTAGCTGTGCCTAAATTCATATGGGGAGGCGTCGGTGATTCCTAGATTCGTTCGCGATCTCTCGATAAACTCAAAATGAGTTCTTAATACACCAACTTAACGCAATGTGCTCAGTTTATTGGGTGTTACTGAATAGAAAATTATGAATGAGTCACTCAAGATGTGTTCCAGCCATGTGTCTTGGCTTGAAAATAAATTCTTTCGCCTCTTCCTGTTTATCTCTCGAGAAGAAGCGCTTTTCTTTCACGCGTGTTTCGGCATTCCAAATTTGGGACGTGTCTACCGGAAACTCGTCACCATAACTGCCTTTTCTCAAGTCCTTGAAAGAGCGGCGCACATATATTTTACGTATTTCAGATAAAATTTCTTCCTTTCAATCGTATCTTCGGAGTATCGCCGGCATCTAAAGGCGAACACGTATTGTAGACACGCACTCGGCCGGGGAACGAAGGAGGAAAGTGTTTTTTTATCTCGGGAACAATTCACAGTGAATATACAAAGGCGTCCTCTCGAATTCTCGCGCCGGGAGGGCGATCCCGGCGACGGCGAGCAGATAAAAACCGACTTCTGTCGCGAGGCGTACGTTGTACGCGCGCTTCGAGGAATCTCTTATGAGAACGCGTCACAATGGAAATTGTTCGCCCGCTTGCAAGGACTCGCGTTCCATTAATTGTATGCAGTCAAAGACATTGAGGGGAAAAAAATCAAAGTGGATTGTGAAAGCGTGGGATTCGACGGTGGATGATCCTCGCGATGTCGCTGTCGAGGTGCTAATACGGTTTGGCCCGCGGATTACTCTACTCCTCGCTCTCCGCGCCGTGGTGTCTTTATGTAAATTCCGATGAAACTGCCGCTGCGCATCGGCTTCGATCATTTTATGAAAATGGACATCTTCCTGCCCGAAGTTGGATCGCATCCGGATCTCGTTACTTCTGGCGGCCGAAGCTGTCATCAGCCGCCCGTGCTCTCGTGAATCTAATTTCTTCTACTTCCTCCGCATCCTTAAGGATGCGAGTACGCCGCGAGGAAACTCGATTGCGGCGCGGCCGCGGTCCTTGGAATCTTCCTGCGGACACCTCCTCCGTATTTTTCATTGATAGCGACAATTTCGTAGCTCGCGCAGCGACACGTAATTGTATCGCATTAATGGGCACAATTTCCGACATCGTTATAATCCCATTTCCGATCCGCACAACAGATATTTACGGATATACGAGGAGTCGACGGTTCATTATAGTAATTTCTATGATTATGTATTATCCTTGCTATTATATCTTTTGAATAACCGCAAACAATTCGTTTCAACTGTGAACTATATTTAAAATAAACGCATTTAGGGTTACTCGCAATCAACGCAATTACTCGTGTTATTTAAAGACGGAACGGTCACTTCGATTATTCTCATGTTTCGCATTAGAGCTAGGATTCATACAGCTTCGTTCATTTTTAAGACTGATGTATAATACTACGTGCTCTTTGCGTCTAGAAACATGCTATTTTGTAGCCAATAAATACATTTTCAAAATTTGTGCAAGTCGATAAATTGTACATTGTACAATTCTACGTTGTTGACAAGGTCTTAAACATCTTAAGTTCTTAAACATCTTGATTTGCTTGTATAAAATAGAATGTTTCTAGACGCAAAGGGTGCATTGTAGATTAGGTGTTAAGCCTAACTTTTGAAAGAAAATTCTCTCCGTGTATGGACTCCTCTAAGGATTAGAAGAGAAGGAAAACGTCTTAGGGCGTCTAGTGCCACAAACGTCGGTTAACTGTTAACCAGAGTTCAGTCGACTCCCTATCTTTTTCTATCTTATTATCCAAGAAGAGAGCAATCAATTAACCTTTGGCTAGCGGTTAACCGACATTTGTGAAACTGGCCCTTAGGGAAATTTTCACATTCTTGCCTAGTAGGTGAAATATACTTTACGAAAACAAGTTTATTTCGGTATAGATTCCTTTGCTTTTCCGAGACGTTAATAATTCACAGAAGGCGAGGCACAAAAGACTATTCCATACGACGGATTTTCTCAAGTAAAATCCTACATCACGATCGAATGATTGGGAACAGGGCCGACAGAAATTACTATTAATTAGCGAGGTTAGCGAAAAGTAGTATTAATTAGCGGGGAAATTGCGTAATCTCTGTCGGGGGATCCAAAAGAAATGCGTTCTTCCTCGAAGAGGAGGGAGAGTAGGAAGTGGAATTCCCCGCGACTTCCGCCGTCCTTCTTGTGGGTGAACGTACGGGTCGAAGGTCAAGTTTACCCTCTAGGATCGTTGAAAGTCGGACGTTGTTCTCACGAGTTTCCCGTGGAATCGAGAACGTGCCGGCGGCATTTAAGGCACATGCCAACGAACCCTCGAGCGAGGGATGCTCGCGAGTCTTCATTCGATTCTTTTCAAGAAACTACAGTTAACTCGATGGCAGATCTTTTTCAATAACAATGTCAACGCTAAGAGCATCTACGTTAGCTACTTGGCAACAAAAGTATCGGAGTCAACCGACCTCCGCAATGATCGATGCAATTAGGTCGTAAGTCGTCGATGCGATTAAAAGCCGTTAAAACGATTGCAACGCGGCACAATCCATTGTTGCGACTTGCAATTCGCGAAATTAACTTTATGTTTGTCCAGGCAAAGTGACCGCATTCCCTCTTTCGCAATTTCCTTCTCTGACAATAGGGTCTTTCGGGACGAGAGATATGAGGTTTACAAGCGTTCGCGTTTCCCCTCGGATATCCGGGTATTTAGATTCGTTGCAGCGTTTTCTTTCGCGGCATCGCGATTTTTAGTCGTGGCTTTTTAATAGGACGCCTCCTATGATCCGTTGGCGTCGCGAGTTGCGCCACGGCACGACGCTAAACGCAGGTGCAGCTCGGCGCACGCGAAATATTCCGACGTTGATGTAATTTCCTGCGTAACGCAAAAATTATACCTGCGTAAGAATAGGAATTATTAAATGACAGGCATCCAGGGTGTAGGTGCCGCGTGTCTCGTCGACGTACTCTGGGAAAGAAAAAGGCAGCAACCCATTTTGGGGCCCACAATTACTGATCGAATTATTTGAATCGTCCGTAACTCTACTTTGGGAAAAATTTTAACCTTTTTTTTTCTAGTTAAGCAACTTAACGTTTCGGTTAGTGCTTTGCGTTACTGAATATCGACAGAACTAATTGAGAGAATTGATTAATAATAAACAAACGTAGATGTAATCTCGAAATTTCCGGCGCCTTGTCCCGCGTCCATTTCCTATTTACCGCGAAGAAACTTGTCACTTATGCGTCTCTCGTGTTTGACGATGGTACCCGGCGGTCGTTATTACACCAAGCAGCTGTAGCCCGCCGCGCAGATTAAATCGGATTATCTCGTCGTTAGCGGAATCTCATTTCGCGGGGTATCCCGTTCCTCTTTTGCGCTTTTCTCTTTCTCTCGTCCGGCAGGGGCGGCTCTCCTCTACCTCTCGCTCCCGTCTCGATCTGCCGACATCTCGTCCCGTGCCTTCGGAACGATCGACATTCCGAGCCGCGCCCATTCTCAGCGCGTTGACTCGACGAGTCTTGTTCGGCTCGGTGCACCGATCACGCGGCGCGGCCGACGCCGCGTGTCCTTTTGCGCGAGAACCGAGGGAGAGAAAGAGACGAGCTTCCGTCGATCACGGGATTTCACGCAGGCTCCTCTCAACAGAGCGAATCCGCGCAAATGGACGGTCGCAGGCGCGCGCGCGCGACAAGAATCCACTCGTGCCTCATTCCAGGCGTGATTTCCATTTTATTTCGAACGAACGCCATCGCAGCTTCGAGAGCTGCATAATAATGAAATAGTTTCGTAGCATTTTGTCAAAATTCTTTCGTCCTTGAGCTCATTTGACATTCTCGTCGAAATCCCACGTGGACTTTCGGGACCGAAAGTTTCGTTTCGGCTCCCCTCTCTCTCTCACGCTATTTCACGCCAGCCGAGTTTCCAGTTGTAATTTACACACCGATTCTTCGATCATTTTGTACGCAATTCGTGCTAAGAAATGTATTTATTCTGGAATCGAGTCTTCTTTGTCAGGAGGGCGGAATTACCCACTAATCCACTTTTCGACGGAGGATCGTGGACGCGCAGCGTCGGAGAGGACCTCGCGCTGCGTCGCGTCGCGACGCGGCGCAGCGTGACGCTCTGTTATTTTCTTTCGCGCGTCAGGAAACCGCGCGATTCCCGGAGCTGGGTGGCCGGTTGGCTACCTCGCCTCCTCGCTCGGGTGGCTGGCGAGCGGGCGTCGGGAGAACCGGCCGCGTACAGTTATGTCTTTTGCGCCGGCGCGGCGCATCCCGAGAGTAGGCGCGCGCGCTCGGATGCCTCCTCGCGAGCGGCACGCACGCGAGGTGATAATTCCGCGTCCTCGTCCCCTCGCGAGAGACAGCCGGGGAACGCGACCTCGGCGAGCACACGCGAGGTAGCCGTCGATTAACGGGAAGACTCCGCGTGTAAATTCCCAACATTAACCAACGAAACCCCGTCGATGCGACCCGACGACAGCCGGCGATCCTTAAGTCGAGGAGACGTTAAAGACAGCGATTTTCCGAAGGACGCTCTCGACGAGACGGATAACGATGCGCGTAACCGCCTTAACGGTTTC